CCCGCCAGGAGGTGCCTAGGCCCAGATGATCCACTGAGGATCAGCCGGGTGCCCCTCGTGGGAGGCTACACTTAGGGAAGCCATCTCCACATCATTCTTGTCATCCCTCCCTGTGTCACTGTCATTGAGGAAAAGGCAAAGGGGACTTCTCAGGGAGCTCAGAACTTACCGGCTGGCCGAGTGTTGTTGTGAAAAAAATCTGTTGACAGAGAGAAAAGATAGCTATCGTTGAGTGCTTGCTGGCTCTGTGCCAGAAAGTACCAACCCTGGGTTCACAGTGAGATGCTGGATACAGGCCTGGCCCTCAGGGAGCACCCAGCCTAGAGGAGGGGATGGCAAAGAGCGAATCCCAGTGCAGCGGGATGGGGCTGGGGTGGAGTAAAGCCCAGGAAGTGGCAGGAGCCTGGAGCCTTGGTTCCGGACCCAGATGAGCAGGGAAAGGCGGTCAGGCAATCAGGGAGGTGAGGCAAAAAGGTGAAAAGGGGTGTTCCCGGCAGAGGGAACAACGCCTGCCGAGGTATGAGAGTACCTGGCACATTCGGGGAACCTCGGTGCGGATGGAGCAGGCAGGAGAGCGAAGTGGGGACCCCCCAGACAAGCGGCGTGGGTCATGGAGAGCCCTAGAGGCGGCCCTGAGCAGTGAGGATCTGTGCCCAGGAGGCCCTGAGGAATCAGTCTCAAGGCTGGAAATGACACTGGCTATTCGTAAAGACAATTCTAGCTGCACTGCAGAGGGAAGGGGAGGGGACGGGAAGCCAGGTGGTGAGGAGGTGAGGTGGGGATGGAGAGGAAGAAACTCAGGGCTTTGGCAGCAGCTCAGGGGCAGCCAATCAGGAGCTTTGGCTGGTTACACACGAGCTCAGCAATGAAGCAGGCTCCTTCCAGCTGGCACTGACCAGGGTCTAGTGTCCAAGGGGAAGGGCGGGACCAAAACCAGGGGTGGGGCGGGCGGGACCAAAACCAGGGGTGGGACGGTCGGGACCAAAATGGGGCGAGGGGCCTGGCCTCTCCTGGGGACCGACCAGAGATCGGAATCTTAGACTGACCAGGCTCCTAACAGGGAAACCCTAGGGAGAGGCCCAGCTCTCCTCGGCCTGGGACATCAGCTGCAGGGGACGCCGCAAGCCAGGAAAGGCAGGAGAGGCAAACACTTTGGAGAGTGAACGACATGACCTGCAGCCCAGGGACCAGCAGCAGGGAGGGGCAGCCAGGCAGTGAGATGGAAACCACAGGTACTTACCGGGTGTTGCTGCTGAGGAGGTTCCTAAAAAGGGATAGAAAGAAAGCGGTCACTAAAGTGTGGGTGGAAATCAGTGAGTGCACCCCTGGTCCCCTGAGTTACTGCTGTGGAGGCCTGTGATGTCAGGAGGGGACCTACGTGGGTTTCCACAGTGGCTCCCTCAGCCCCATCATTATGCAGGGTCATCAGCGGCACAGCCAAGGTCATAACGCCGTCATTTATTCATCACTTCCTAGTTGTCCAGAGCTGTTCTAAGGGTTCACATGCAATTGCATTCAATTCTCTAATCACCATTGGAAGCAGGTTCTATCCTGACCATCTCTTAATAAACGAGGAAACTGAGGCTTAGCAAGATGAATTCGTTGCTAAAGGTCACAAAGCAAATGGGAGAATGAAACACATTGGGCACCAGCTGTGTGTTCAGCATAATGACCCCCGCCTCACCGGAGAGCAAGTGGTCCCTGCATGGCCTCCTGGAGTGGACAGGCCAAGGGGATAGGCTGGAAAGCTCCTGCGTGCCCCTACCCCCTGAACTGAACCGCAGACACCATTAGCTACTAGCCTCCAGCTTTCACTTGTAGGGGGTCAGAGGTGGGCCTTCCATGAGCGACATCATGCAATACTTGAGCAAAAGACTCCAGCATCTTTGGAGTGGGCACAATTTTGGGAGAACCAGCCTTGGTTCCGGCACTGCCAGAGCATAGATTCCACCCCTGAGCACTCAGCGTCATCCAAGGTGATGGGGCCAGAGCCAGAGCCAAAAATAGGCATTTCCTGGGGCTGACACTGCCTGTCCACAGCCCAGCTGCCTGAAGACTACCTGGGCATCCTGAATGCCCCAGTTATCATCACAGATTCTTCCCCCACTGGCCATCACGGTGAATTTCCACATGCCCGGCACATCCGGGACAGGAGGAAGAGTTCCCACTAACTAATCTCAAGCTGGCATCTGAAAGACTCATGTTGTGAAAGGTGATGGCCTTGTCCCACAGCAAATCCCAAAGGCCAATCAATAACCCCTAGGTCTCTCCTCATCCCCAGGGTCACCAAACAGCACTGATGAGGGTACAAGTGCTACCTGATCCACCTGGAAGAAGCCCCAGCATCACAGAGCCCAGACTCCCTCACCCTCGGCTGCGCAGGTGTTGGCTCAGCAAGGTGAGTCACCAGGACCCCCAGGGTGCTGGTGGCAAACCCAGGGCCAGGGTGTGTCCCCTCTTCTCCCCCTCTTGCTGCCTTGTATTGCCCAGATAAGGACAATGGGCAACACGTCCCTGAAGCCCTTCTCTAGTTTCACGCGGGGACGGTAACACATGCTGCTTGACAAGAAGCAGTGCAAAGGGGGGTCAGACACAAGGTTTCTGCCACAGAAGGGCTTGCATCTTGGCTCTGCCTTTATCAGCTCCGTGATCCTGAGCAAGTTACCTAACCTCTCTGCCTCAGTTTCCTCCTCTGAAAAACGGGAGTGATCGTGATCAGATTCTGATAGATGTTAAATTAGATAATACATGTAAACCCTTAGAACAGTGCCCAGCGTGTAACAAGCACCCAACAATGTTAGCTGTTATTATTTACCAGAGAGTGATAGAATGCATTCAAACTTTTTGTTGGTTAGTTTATTTTAATAGACCGCTTAAAAATACATATGTACTCCTCAGTAGTGATCTAAATTAAAACTTTTTTTTCCTCATTCATAACTCTTATTTTTTCCAAAGTTTAGAACTTTATGATTTGTAGTATATTCAGAGCTCTGCAATCAGCATCACAGTCAATTTTAGAGCATTTTCATCACTCCAAAGAGAATCCCTGTGCCCAACATCAGTCACTTTCCATTTTCCCCCAAAACCCCCAGCCTTAGGCAACCACTAATCCACTGTCTGTATAGATTTGTCTATTCTGGACATTTCATATAAATGGAATCATACAATATGTGGTCTTTTGTGACTGGTTTCTTTCACTGAGCATAATCTTTTCAATGTTCCTCCGTGTTGTAGCATGTATGCACGTGTACCAGGACTTCATGTCTTTTTATTGCCAAGTAATATTCCACTGTATGGATATACCATATTCTGTTTGTCCATTCACCATAATGAACATTCAGGCTGTTTCCACTTTGGGGCCATTAGGAATAATGCTGCTACCCACGAACATCTGTATGTAAGTTTCTGTGCAGACATATGCTTTCCTTCCTCCTGAGTATATGTCTACGAGTAGAATAGCTGGGACATAAATTTTGAGGAATCACCAGGCTTCATCTCAAACTGCACGCTCCATTTTACGTTCCCACTAGCAGTGGATGAGGGTTCTGATTTCTCCATGTCCTCAGCAACACTTATTATATCTGACTCCAGGAAGTAAAGGTCATGAAGTCTATTCTTTTAAGAACCACTTACCTCATTCACTTCAAAGAAGGGGAAGGAGATTTCCTTAATTAAAGCAAAAGTCCTCTCGGGGACAGGGGAGACGTGAGGGCTGAGCATGTGCAAGCTCTGTGTTGGCCCTGGGTGGGGGCTGGGGTGCGCGGGAAGCCAGCAGGGGGGGTGCAGGTACAGGTGGACATTGCAGGTGTAGGCACCACTGCACGGACAGCCAAGCATGGGGATGAGAAACCCGTGCCCTACAGCTCAGGAGGGAAAATGTGACACTTACTCTCTGTGGTGGTAGTTGATGGACCCAGGACATCTAGAAAGAAAATGAAGCAGCGTTAGGATATTGTTGGATAATTCTTTAATTCCATGGTCGATAGAGAAACTAAATCCTTTTTCTTTCTGCAGGACTTCTCAGAGCCTTGACCTTTCCCACTTACACTGTGGCTGTCCAAATGGGCTGGAGTACACAGCACTTCCCAACATATTTGGCACCAGATATGTTCGCTGTGCCATGAAGATCATTTTGGGGATTGCTCTCAATGCGAGGGAATCCTTTAACAGACAATCATTTGTAGGAGTGCCGCTTGGCCATGTCAGTAACATGGTCACAGCGCTCCACGGGATGACTGGGATAGTTATTGTCATCCAAAATGACCAGGGGAACAAATCCTGTTCCCCTACAGGGTCCCTTAAGGAGCAGAGGCAGCAGGTGATGGTAGGAGACCAGAGGGGCCCTCCAGGCAGAGCTGAGTGACAGCCAGGGTCCTGGGAGCTCAGCTGGTCACGGAAACAAATTCCAGAGTCCTCCCAGGGACACCCCTCCCCAGGAGAGGCCTGCCCTCCTCCTTCTCCTTCTGGGAACTGAGGGGGGGATTGCAGAGAGGAATCTTGCTGGGTTGTTCTGCAGGGACTCACCTCCGATGGTAGGATCGATTGGCGAAGCTGCAAGAAAGAGGACACAGGGTCAGCCTGGGCGCCCAGGATGTGCTGCAGTGAACCCTCAGGCTCCTGAGAGAGTTGCTGAGGGCCTGCCCCTCCCTGGCCAGAGAAGGGTGATCTGGGACTTGTCCAGGAGAGCTGAATATTAAATGTCAACCTCAGATATTAGTCTACACAGACATACACACACACAGACACACACACACACACAAAAGGTTTTGGGGGAATTCATTCTTACAACTTTAGTGTCCTCTGCACCCTTGTCTGCTCCAGGGGCCACTGAGAAAGTGATACTTCAGACACATGAAACCCAGGATGCCACTATAACCACTGATGCCATTAGGAAATTACTCATCTTTCAGGGACACTCAGGACGAGAGCCCAGGGCAAAGAAGAGCAGTTTTTTGGAGAAACTCACACTAAAACAGAGATTCAAAGCCTTGGAAGCCCACCTGAGCAGATGACCCCAGCATCCTCATAGTGCCTACAGTTGTGGGTGTTCCAGGGGTTGTGGGGGCAGCTCCACAGGTAAGTCTCATTCCCTGAGCAGCGCAACTCATCCAGGACAATTGGCCCTGAGCCCTGGCCGAACAGGGCATTTCCTGGGGCCGACGTGGCCCAACCACAGCCCAGCTGCCTGCAGACCACGTTGGCATCGTTAATGTCCCAGCTGTCATCACACACGGTGCCCCAGGAGCCTTGGTACAGGACCTCCACCCGGCCTTGGCACCTGTCACTTCCATTCACCAGCCTCAGTGCCAAACCAGAATCAGATCCTAGAAAGAGATAGGAAAATTGACTCTCTTCTGTGTCTCCTGAAGGAAGTCGTCCTGAGGTCTGAGTGAGATTCAGAATTCTTTCAGGGAAAGACTTCTGGGTTCTGGTTAAGGTTCTGCAGCAAGAGGATCTGATCCAAGCCTGTTCATCACATTTTATCTCCAAGAAGCTATTTTACAGACTCCTTGGGTGGGGGCAAACCTACACATGATTTCTAACTGGAGCCCCTCAAAGCCAGAAATTCAATTGCTGAACCCAGCCTTAGGATGCAGCTGGGAAGAAGGGAAGCCCACAGCCTGCATCCCCAGGGGCCACTGGGATGGACTGAGCCCCTGAGGGCGCAGACCACCAGAGACAGCTTCCCAGCCCCGCCAAGGTGCCACCTTGGACTGTTCAACCCTACGAGGGACCCACTCCGTCGGACCTGAGGTTGTCCTGGAGACTACCTTTCCACTGAGCACCTCTTCATGTTACTTTCAAACCTGAAGCTGACCCTTAAACTTGAACAAACCATGGACGTACTGAATGTCATCCAAGCACAAAGAGATGGCTAGGGAGAGGGAAACAATTGCCAGCAGGCTGCTGAAGTTCCCTCCAGAGACAAACAAGACAATTTCCCCTAACAGACAGCCCAACCCAAAAACGAGCAGAAGACCTAACAAGCAATTCTCCAAGGAAGACATATAAATGATCGATAGGCACATGAAAAAATGCTCAGTATCACTAATTATCAGAGAAATGCAAATCAAAACTACAATGAGGTATCACCTCACACCAGTCAGAATGGCCATCATTCAAAAGTCCACAAATGACAAATGCTGGAGAGGCTGTGGAGAAAAGGGAACCCTCCTACACTGCTGGTGGGAATGCAGGTTGGTGCAGCCACTGTGGAAAACAGTATGGAGATTCCTCAAAAGACTAGGAGTAGACTTACCATAGGACCCAGTAATCCTGCTCCTGGGCATATATCCAGAAGGAACCCTACTTCAAAATGACACCTGCACCCTATTATTCATAGCAGCACTATTTACAATAGCCAAGACATGGAAACAGCCTAAATGTCCATCGACAGATGACTGGATAAAGAAGAGGTGGTATATTTATACAATGGAACACTATTCAGCCATAAAAACCGACAACATAATGCCATTTGCAGCAACATGGATGCTCCTGGAGAATGTCATTCTAAGTGAAGTAAGCCAGAAAGAGAAAGAAAAATACCATATGGGATTGCTCATATGTGGAATCTAAAAAAATAAAAGTCATAAATACAAAACAGAAACAGATTCATAGACATACAATACAAATTTGTGGTTGCCAAGGGGGCAGGGGGTGGGAAGTGACAGACTGAGATTTGAAAATGTAGAATAGATAAACAAGATTATACTGTATAGCACAGGGAAATATATACGAGATCTTGCGGTAGCTCACAGAAAAAAATGTGACAATGAATATATGTATGTTCATGTATAACTGAAAAATTGTGCTCTACACTGGAATTTGACACAACATTGTAAAATGACTATAACTCAATAAAAAAATGTTAAAAAAGAAAAAAGACAATTTCCCCTAGTAGGATGCAGAATTGTGGCTGGCAGCTAGCCTATGCAGGAAGCAAGCTGACAGTGAACCCCCAGAACATAAGAAAGAGGACGTTAGAAATGTATAGTTTGATAGATAATCTTGGAACTTCTGGATCCAGCTGTACTGAAGACAGAACTACCACTCCATTGCACCCCCTATATCTTAAGACACTATGAATTTGGGGCCTATCACTTGCAAACCAAGATGTCTTGACTAATATGCACCATAGCTGGTAGGAAAAAGCCACCCATAGTT